CGGGAGGAGAGCAGGGATTGAGGGGTTTCTGCAATCCTGTCCACACCGGCAGTGGCTACGATGCTAACTAATTGGTAAGAGGCCTATGCGTGAGCAAGTGAAGGAGGGGTGTCTGGGTGGCAAGCCAAAGAGGAAGCAAGACAGGCCACATCATTCCCACAGGATCGAGGAAAAAAGAAAGGAGGAAAAAAAAAAAACACAAAACAGCAACCAAAATACAGAAAAGGACAGGAGTAATGGCCCCTCTTCCCCCCTCTTACCCTCCTTTCCTTCCCTCTGTAGCCCTTCCAGACCCAGTCTCCAGACTAGCTTCATCCTTGTAATTTAGATTAATTTCTTCCACATTTTCCTCAGGGATTAGGCTGCAACCCCTAACCCCTCCTCCCCCCAACACACACATACATGCACGCACAGTCAGCTCACCCCCTACCGTAGCAGCTTAATGCTCTCATTATTGAACTGCGTCCCCCCCCCTCCCACATCCATCCCCACCCTACCCCCAGCCTTCACACACACACAAACACACACTCAGAAATGTGAAAACTTTCAGCGTATGTCAGTGTTGATGGCTTAATGTCATTAGATGACTCTTCTGATTATATGAATAAAACCATTATATCTTACTTAGCGTTGCTGGTGCAACACTGTCTGTCTCAAAGTGTTCAGTGTTATTATCACTATTTTAAGACTCTGTCACCAGATGCATTGTTGAGCGTTGTGCTAAGCTACTTTGAAATGGCAGCAATTATTGGCTAAAGTGGCTTGTTATGGAACAATGAGGAGGATTTTCCATTTAAGTTTGTTTGAACCCATTTTCCCTCCTAAGACCATCTTTAAAAGGGTTTTCTCATAAATTAAAGGTGACGACCACTTTGGGAAGAATTAATGACTTGGATAGGGATCATAAAACAGTTTGTCTGGATGCTACAACACCCATTTCACAGTGTGTAAGGCGACCAGTATCCTCCAGACACAATCAAACTTGCCATGTTTGTGAAGGTTGTTGAATACAGTGCAGTGGGCAAATACCAACAGAGTATACTTACTGTAAGTCAAGTGTTGGTTTATTGCCAGTGAGTCACACTGGGAGTAGACACAAAAGCTCCTCAAAACAACAAGCAAACCGGGAAAGCAAAGCAAAGACATCTGGGAACTGAATCACGACACCCTAATTTTGTTCTTTTTTAAAAATGTATCTCATTACTTAATGTAATTAACCGAAAGTTAATTACCTTTTCCTTTTTATGTCTGCCAAATTAAAATGACTAATTCCTCTGCCAAGCATTCCTTGTTGTACAGTCAAAAGCAACTGAAAAATCCCAGAGAATCTAAATCTGTGCATGAAAAAACTCTTTGTTTTCTTTGGCTTTCTCTCCCTTTTGTTATTGTGCATTCTGCCACTTTTACATGGATACACTGTCCTTTATGCCTCTTTCTTCTGTCTCTCTCCCATTTTCTTCTTCCTAAAAGGCACCTTTTAGCTTCAGATTTGAAAATGTGTTCATGGTGTCATGTAGCGCTCATGCCATGTGTGTTTAAGAGACACAAAATGCTGTTCAAGTACTTAAAAACTATTTTCTTATAACATCCCATTGCAAACAAAGAGCTGTCCTCTGTCCCGCGCTTGACAAATGAAATCTGCCACAAAAAGGTTTCCTCTCTACCACAGCAACAACCTGTGTCTTTGGGACAAATGATAAAAACATTGTGCCCTTAAGTCATCACACACTACAGTGGTTTTCACACTTCTCCTTCAGATACAAAAAAAAAGAAAAGAAAAAGATACACACCACTCCTGGTAAAAATAGATTAAATTAGCGAACATTAACAGTAAACTAGTATCAAAACAAGGTGTATTTTATGGAAATAATATAAAAATAAAATAAGATAGTCTGACTTTTCATTGTTTATGTCAGCACATTTATCATATTCACTTAAATCTATCATTTACAAAACAATAATGGTCTTCATCATTAGTTTTGCCTAAATCACAAAACAGACAAAGTCTTTTTATCCCAGAAAAAACTTTTTTTTTTTTTTAGTGCTAATGGTGATGTGCATAAATATTACTTTACACACCAAGAGCCTTGTTTTTTAATTAATCTTAAACCAATGTATTAAACATTTGCTTGAACAGAGTTTTTGTGTTAAATGTATATGGCCAGCCTGCATTCACAGTAAAGGTTGAAGCTAAATAAAGGTAATATTGCTTTTTTTCATATTAATTTCACATTATCAGTAGAAAAGATACTGACAGCACTTCGTCTTAAATAGGACATTCCAGTGCTTTTTGTCATGACTGATCAAGTTGCAGTTCATTGTGCAACTTTTAAGTTTCGAAAGTTGCTGTCATCTCTTAATTGTTGCTCATTTCATCCTTCACATATCTCCTCATAACTTGATCTTATTTCTTAGAGGCACCAAAATGGCAGATTTAATCATCTGATGATTTGATTGCTACTCTGTTTTTTTTTTTTTTCTCTAAACGAAACAACACTAATTTTGATATTTTTAATTATCGTCTGCTAACTGTGTTTACAAAGCTGGGAAAGACTTCAGTTCAACTCCTGATTTAGTCATGAAAATCTACCACTGTCATCTGTGTGATTTGTCACTTATGACATGGGAGGTTAAGACTATGGTTTAACTCATAAAGTGGTTTCAGCGGTCAGGAACTGCAAGCAAGCGATTAGTCTGACTGCAAATGAGGCTTAATGTACAACAGATTTCAAAGACAGTTGTCGAAGGGAAGTGGTTAACTAAATGGAAAAGGGTGAAAGCAAAGTGCTAAGTGTCTGAGAACATGTTGGTCAAAATCTGTGAAATTTGTAACAGTGAAGAAATCTATAAAAATCCGACTATTTTCAGAAACTGTTACACAACTCTCTCTATCAATATCTCGTTGTTAAGCTAATAAAACGGAAGTCTTTGTATACTGCTCTTATTTTTTTGCAGAAAAAGCAATAAAAAAAAAAAGAAGAAAAAGAAAGAAAACATGCTCGTACGATTATTCTTTTTTGGTGCATTTTTCTTCTTTCACGGCAGTTTTGTCATGTGACTTGCTGTGACCTACATAGAAAGGTCATTCAGTCAGAGTTGGCATGAAATACAACTACAGTTCAGTGACTCTGGCGTTGACAAGTAGCCCTGGGCATCCTAATGAGATCTAAAGATTATATTAGCATGTCAGTTATAATCTCTAATAAAACACATATTTGAGTTTCTCTCTTTTTTTTTCCATAAAAGAAGAAGAAGTGCAGGTAACAGGTAAGCTCAACATGCCTACGCTTGCCTCCTTTTCCCAGATATATTAGGTGTGTCATAGGTGAATTACTCACACTGCCTTACAGTTGGAAGGAAAATCTTTGACCAGTTATCATGTTGCTTGTGTTTTGGAAAACACTCGATGAAGAAAGACGCATAATAAGCAGGTGCATTGTGGTATGATTCTCAACTCTTTTTTTTTCTGTTGGCATGTTAATGATGTGTATATGGGCTCATAAAATCAGGTGTATCCAATTTTTGATAGGACACCTCTGTTTCGTATCTGCTCAGAGAGAATCAACTCCATTGACAAGAAAGATGAAGAAAGTAAAGAGGACATATGTGTGTGTGTTTAATAACTCACGGCTGCCAAAAACAAAAGCCCTGTGATGTGACAGACTGACAGCATGCAGAGACAACAGAGAGAGAAGAAGAAGGAACAGGGTGAATAACCTCCAATCAAATTGTCAGACACAGGGAGGTGTTTCCTCAACCATGTTGAGCCACTCATCAAAGGCTCTAGGAAAAATCCTCTTGACTCCTTCCACCAACCTTCACTCATACGTCCTTTTCTTTCTCCCACCATCACCTCCTCCTCCTATTATGAGCCCTTTCAGGGCCAAGTGTACAAGCTAACACGAGTAACTGAAGGCAGATAAAGTCAACCGCTGTGAGGGCAGTGAGCCACTGGGTTGACAGGTCTGGTTAAACAGGTTCTGAGGGGAGAGGCTGATACTTGTTTAACTGCTAGGTATCTGCCGCTGCTGCTGCTACTGCTGATGCCTTCTCTTACCTGTAGCTTTGTGAAATGCTGGTTTCACCTACTGACCCCCAGAGCAGGATTTCTGACTATTTTAGAACATATGAAAAGAAATGTTGATGCAGTATATGGTTGCGGATTACAGTGCTGTAGGTAAATTCAACTATATGTCCCATGTTACCACAGAAAAGTGTTTGAGTCAGCTCTGGTTTGGTGTTACTCTGGCTCAGACACTTAGTAATGAGCTCCTGAAACACATAAACAGACAGACCACATGAATCAGCAAGGACTGGCTGGGCAAGTGATGATTAAGCAACCTTGCGCCACATGTGAATCCCATCTACAGTTGTGCATCACTTCTTTTTTTTTCTCACAGACTTCAAAAGAATTGTCATCTGCAGTGAGAAACTTGCAGCGCCGCATTTCCATACGTGAAGTGTTCTTTGAAACTAAAAGCAGACTGACACACCTGTTCCGAACACAGGAAGAAGAGAGGAACTATGCGTTCAGGAAGATTGGACGTTAAGTTATGGACCTTTGCTACGATCTATTCAGCGTGTGCCAAGAATTTTCTAAGTTTAAACATAAACCAGCTATTTGTCTGCTCTCAGCTGCACGACCTTGTTCATCACATGATGTACTTTTGAGGTCTGTGCCTTCACTGAGCCACACAGCCTATTTGTGAAGCTACGTAAGAGCAGATAATGATGGCTACTGTTCCCGTTAGTTTAGTGGGGGGATTTTTCTTTGCTGTTTATTAATAGGAAAATCTTGCAACACATGACTTCACCATCATCTGTGAAATATCGCTAAAAAGGAGGCTACAGAACAATAGTGCTATCCATTAACTTTAAAAAAAAATGTGTACCTATGTGTTTGTGTGGTCTGGGACACATCACTGACTCACTGGATCAGGCTTGAGGCTTTCATTTTATTTTTTATTTTTCCTGAAACTTTCAAACAGTTGTTTTTTTGGGGTTTTTTTAAACATATTTTCAAAAAAAGTATATCATGCCCACTTCCTAACCTCTACTCGATAAAAAACTAACCCATTTATAAAAGTTTAACACGTCATCATAAAAAGTTAAACCATACACCAGAATGATACCATTATTTACACAAGCCCATTAAATTACAACATAAATTAGAAAATATTTACATCCAGGACAAGACACTGGATAAAATTCTATGTTTGGAATTTAATGTCTAATTAAAAACATTTTTAAAGAAAGAAATATGTACATTTACACACATTCTCACAACATACATACACTCTGGCAGGACTGAGCTTGTTGGTTGGTTGATGTTAACTTAGGGTTTTTAAATATTAAGGATAATGAATACCTTCGTCACAAAAATATTCTATTCTCACTGCCATGTTTAAAAGATAAAGTAACAATGGAAGCATGGCTATGCCTGTAATCCACATGAACACTGAAGAGGCTTCTATCAGAGCAACTTTAAAGTCTCTGGTTTCTGATCGCGCACAGACTGACAAACCAATAATCGTGTTTTTCTCATCCAGGCCGACACAAGATTCAAATCATCTCCCATGAACAAAGCACAATAACACTGGAGGCATTTTGAAGTTTGAAGTTGTCGTACAAATCAAGCACAAAAAAGTAAAGAAAATTAAGTGGATTGTCTTTTTTCCTCTCTCTCTCACATATAAAAAAATTGTCCTTTGCAAGTCCATTGAGACACAGGAAATCAGTGGATTTGCCTCCAGACAGAGCAGGAGGGGGAAAGCTGAGAGGAATTCACAGCCACAGCAACTCATCTTGAAATGATGTCCTCTTGGGAGAAAAAAAAACACAAAACACAGAGTGTGCTTTTTTTTTTTTTTTTTTTTTCCTCTTCTTGACAACAAAGCACAGGTCCTATGGTTGTAGCATCAGCCCACTGGCACTGCATAGTGGTTAGTAAAATGTGGTGTGTGTTACTCATTCACAGAGTGGGCTCCCATTAAGACCAATCCACAGCATTCACCATTGGTGCCAACGCCCGGCTGTTTTGCGGTGAGCTGTGACAAGCCATCAAAAATCCTCAACTTCTCCAAAATAGAAATTTACAGAGCAAGCACACATATACACTCACACACAAATTCAGCTCTCAAAATGACAATACTAAATATTGATTTTTAAAAAAAGTCCAAAAAAGGGCAGACAGGGCGGCAAGTTTAAGGGAATCGGAGGGGTTTCTGAAGTTCATAGGGATTCTCCTTTGAGCTCTCATTTCCTGTGCTTGTCCATTTTGTCGGTAGATTTGCTCCCACTGTCTGAGGATCCCTGGGTGTCGCTACCAGAGCTCAGGTACATCTTGTCCACTTGTTTGAGCGCCTCGTTCAGGTAATTCTGAAGTGAGGTCATAGCGGCACAGATGGCCGGCGAGCCGAAGCCATGAGTGATGAGGCTGAAGTGAGTCAAGCAGCCTTGGATTCCAGGCTCCAAGATGGGCGCGGGTCTAGAGTTTCCCAAAGGTGAGCGGTCCTGAGTGAGCAGGTCAGTGAACTCTTTGCAGATTTGCCTGAAGGTAGAAAGCCAGAATTAGAAAAGATACTGATTTATTGTGGCCTGCGAGAAAATCCCATTGTTACCACTGCAGGAAAGGCAGTAATCAAAGAACACTAGAAAACTTGCTTTTGAAAAAGGTCTAAAAAGTCAGCTTGCTCTTGCTCCGTATAAATACTGTACATGCAAATCGTAAAGAAGAGACACTCACTTGGCAGCAAGGAGCATGTTCTTGCGAGAGTTAACCTCGTTGCGCTCCACATGCGGTCTACCCAGGTATTCAGCAATTGCCTTTGCAGGGAACTCAGTCTCACACACATACCCAAAGTCTCTTGCTAAATGAACTGCTTCACCTGAGAGAAAAGGAATAAACAACATGTCGTAAGAGACAAAACACTTAAGTTTCGCACAAATCCAAGACAAACCTGAAGTTTCTCAAACCAAGAATGTATATTCAGGAATAAATTAGGATTGTTATTATTTACACAAACATGATCACAGCATGTCTTTTGACACATTGCAAAAAACATGGAAGAAAAAAAAAAAAGTGCCCCGCTCTAGACCTGATATACACAAGTATCAAGGCGCATGAAGTGAAGCAGCTGAACAACAGAATAATCAGCTGTGCTCAGTCTTCTAGCTCGAGGGAAGAAGAGCTAGTGAGATGAATATATTTCCATCTTGAGGCTGGTTTGACTTGCATGGTCATAATGGGCTTATGTGGATAAATGCTAGCAGAGAGTGCTGAAGGCGCCAACAGCACCGCTTATTGATAGACACGCACATCACTTCGGGATGCAGGCAGCTATTCAGAAGCACAAGCTTTAAGGTCAGCTGGCCCTCCTGGCGAGTCGAACACAAGATAACAAGGCTTAATTCAGCTTTGAAGGTCTCTAAATAACACAAGCCTCCAGTCATTCTCCTGCACAGAATCATCAGCCCATTTATAAAATTAGGCGTGTAGGGAGCAAAAGAGGGAAAAAATATTCAACTTCAGCCGGCGGCAGGTAGATGTGATTAAAGTGATACTGCGATCGCGGTGGGGCGTCACTGTCTGGCTAAGGTACGAGTGTTGATGTACGAAGGTGAAGGTGTCATGTTGTCATTTTGACTACAATGCAGAGTCAAGATCCCGAAAATTCCAAAAGTGTGTAAAGTGCTGTGGATGTTTAACAGCACGCAGAGATTTAACAGAGCAACTTATTTGAGAACATTTAACTTGAATCTCTCCTGTATGTACTTTGCTGCGCTTTAGGTATGTTTGTGCAAACATGATAATACGCTCAGTCACTCTGAAGTATTCTGTTCCTCTTTTAGTGTTATACAGACAGCTGCTAACCTCAAAAGATCAAATATTGAGCTGGAGATTATCATATCAGGTCTATTTTGAATGCTAAAGACAGATGACATCTAGTTTGTATTCACACACAAGTTTAGTCACTCTGATTTTGGCTAAATAAACAGAATCACTACGGGAACCATAAGACAGCTAATGTGCTGCTGACGGTCGAGCAATTACAACAAATTTTCTCAAGAAAAAAAACATAAAAACGCTCCCATTCGCAACGTCTTTATGACATACAGTAACTACACAATGAGTGGGGTTTGGAGAATGGCTTTAGAAAACGTACTGTGCTTTCAAACACACATACTGTGCCGGTGACACTAACATTCCCACATTCTCACACTATTAGGGCGACATTCCAGTCAGTGAAAACAGCAATTATACTTGAGAAGGTGCTTCGCGCTACTGAGTGACATGTCATACCTTCTACGAGTGAGGTAAGTAGAGTTACGTTGGCTGCCTTCCTTCTTCCTGCTGGCAGGTTGAGTCCAATTTTATCCAACTTTTCTCTCAGAGAACGACCTCCGTTTTTTGACTTGGCTCTGTGAAAGAACACAAAAAGGAAAAGTGAGTCCATAGTCAGGAAGGCAGTCACAGAAAAACAACTCTTCCCACACACTGTGTTGAAGTTTGTAGAAATTTCTTAGTGGAGGATTCAGAGTTTAATGTGGCTTTTGCAAATTTATTCACACGTTAAAATTACGTTTTATCGCTCTATACTGGTCTGAGTGTGTGTGAACAGGTGAATGAGAAGCGCTTTAGAACTTAAGGTTTAAAAAGCTCATTATAAGCGTGGATCATTCGCAACTTACTATTTATCTGTCTCCTCAAGGATGTTTATCCCAAAACATTAAGAGGAATAAACTGGACATATTTGTATTTCTATATTATATAAAAATAGAACAAGCTGTCAGAGAAGGCTTTGCACTCACTGCAGAAGTCTAATTTGACACTTACAACAAACAAGTCACACACAAGCAGCCTCTCTTGACCTAAAAATCCCAGAAACAATTGATGCTTACACTCAAAAAGCGCAGCAGAGTCATCACTCATATATGCATTTGCAGAAGCTCCCCACTTGCCACGGCCGATTCAGTTTTCTGCATGACTGGCTTCTCTCTTTCCGTGGCGGGTGAGAGAGGGAGCATCTTTAGGGAGGCATGTGTGTGTACGAGTGGCCCCCATCCCTTCTTCCCCTTCTCCCCCCTTGTCCCTGTACTAACAACCCCCCCACCCTCCTATTGCTATATGACCTACTTAAAAATGACTGCAATTGTGTATGTGGGTGCGTGGGTTCATGTCAGCATTAACACAGGCACATGGGAAGTGGCAAACATGCAGTCCAAGTACAAAATGCTCGAGTCAGGGGTGCTGAGTACGTACTACAACCTCACAGTCCCTCAACAGACTGCCACACTAACATATGTGCCATAAGGTCAACCGCTCTGACACAGATAAACCTACGCACGTTGTAAACTCTGACAAACACATAAATACGTGAAAAAAAACACACCCACAGAGTCTTTGGATTGGTACTAACTGTGTTGGTGTAACCTATCCCCAAAGGAAACACCGAACCAAACTTGCAGACCACACAAAGAATGTCACAAACCTTGCAAAAAAAAATAAATAAATAAAAAATGATGAGCCAGAGCGACTGAGCCAAGCTGTGCTGTTAAAAAAGCCTTTCCCATGGGCTGCTGAGCTTTGGTCTACAGATCGCTAGAGCTACAGCTCCGCAGCTTGATGATTATTTACATCTGAGACAATCAGACAAGCTTACAAACAGCATTTAGATGAGAGAATTATTGATTAAATTAATTCTGTTTGGCTTAGTTACTCGCAGTCTTTGTGAATCAGCGGTACTGTATTCCGGTGTTATGTTAAAGACTTGTGTAAATCACAGGGAAGGGAGAAAAGACCATTAAATCCTGCCCAGCTGTCAAGTTGAATCAGTTTGAGCACTGACCTGCGTAAAACGCCTCCCAGAAGTGATGCGTTGAGACACTCCGGGGGTGACAAACGTCTCTGGACTTCTGCTACGGTAACCTTGTACTTGGATGTGGAGCTCAGCAAGGAAAGGCGGCCCGGTACAGAGCAAAACACCTCTGTGGGATTTGATACCATGCCCAGCAGGGACTCTTTCTGGAAGGGGAGACCAAGTGCGTTGCCTTTGGGTAGAGTGACAGGACCTGGAGAGTGAGGGGGGGAAAAAATTATAATAAAGCTCCAAAGCAAGTCAGTGCAAAAGAAAAAACAAACTGATTGTGGTTGGGCAATAGCATTTGTTTATATGTGCACTTTTTTTCTGTGTTTGTGCATAAGTTCTAATCTTCCTAATCCTTCCTGCGCAACAGGGAATCTGTGTTTTCTTGTACATCATCACAAGACACAGTGCAGCTCTGCACGACTGAGGAAACCAGTGTCTGCTGGACGAAAGTATACAAGAAACGACTACTGAGACCTTTACATATTATGTGGTTTTTGACACACTGGATGCCTGATGGGTAAACAGCTACGATGTCCTCATGCCAAACACCATCCACAAACAGGTACGCACATACAGACTGGCCCTCCTCTTAGCCACAGATACACCTCAACACTGTAAATTACTTGGTCTCACAGACTCCGGGTGATGTCGACAATGTGGATTGATTGTAGATGCACCAAAGATTTGATGAAATTTAGAGCACAGATGTTTTTTTTTTTTTCTTACGCCACCACAAAAGCACTGACAATCATCAGACAAACAAAACAGTACAGCACACTACAATACAAAACATAGCTATCTTCATCCTCACCCGCAAGAATGCCCCCCTGATAATAAGTCCTCTGTAAGCGATCAAGGTTCCTGCCACCTCGTAGTCCTAATACTGAGACAGAAATCACAGAGTCACATGAGTGCTTTATTTCTCCTCTGGGGCACATGGCTGGGAATGACAAGCCATTGTTTACAAGTGGAAAACCTAGATCGCCCATAGCGTGCCCTTGAGCATGGGAACAATATAATGAGCCATCGCTGATTTCCGTAACAAATGCAGACTGGTTGGTTTATTGTGCTGTGCGAGTGGCTTCTTCTTTTTGTTTTTTTGCTTGTAATTATACATCGTAGCAGCGTCCAACTTTTTTTTTTGCTAGCACGCTTTCAAAAAACAACATTGTATTAACTGTAAAATGTCATCGAATTAACCACATCTTTATAATCAAGATGGTGGCCGACGTTGTTTAACAGGCATGTCGATGAGAAGCTAATGCATGAAGTCTACACTTAAACCTATCTTTAACTCATTCAGCACTGCACAGTATTTTAAAACATTTCCATCTATGTATCTACTTAACTATCTATCTATGGTTCAAATAAATGTGCAAAGCTAAGCAGTAACATATCGTTGCTCAAGCTAATCTGGCACTTAAAGTCTGTTTAATGAAGCCCTGATGACAAAACAGCACGAATAAGTTTCTCCCTCAAAACAGGTCATGTCTCAACAAATTACTAAACTGCCCTTCACATGCAAGCCTAATGCCACACCCCACCAAAAGCTGGTTTTGCAGAGCCAAACACAGCTTGAAAAATCAACTCATAATTTCCTTTTAACGTGAACAGAAAAGAGCTGCAATTGCGAGCTTAACCAGCCTAAAGATGATCCAAAGCTTTCCTCTTCTCTCACAATCAACACTGAGGTTGTGAGATTGCTCAATTTTCGTGTCATGTCAGCTAGAGCCTGCCGAATTTGAAAGGGATCAGTTCTTTCCCACTGGGCATCCATTCAAGCACCTTCACCGACAGAATGGGCTGAGGATCACGCCGAGCTTAGATAAGTGCATCTCATGGCTATGAGGATTATGAGTGTATGCAGTGTGAGTACAAACAGAAGACTCCTCCTTTGCTGTAACTCTCACACTGAGTGCCCTGACATGCCATTATAGAAGTATGACATTTCGAAGTATGTAGAGAGTGAAAAACTACCATCCTTATGGTAAATTTCCAACCCTTGTCAGTAATTACTGCACATGTACCCCAGGCAGCATTTTCCAACAGACGTGCAGTTCTTTTTTTTTTTTTTTAATTTCTTTTTGTTTTGTTCTTTTCAAATAGTAAAGTTAGTCGTAAGCAGCAAGGCAAAACTCACCTTTTTTGATGACTGTCTGATCTGCCATAATAATACTGTGGTCATCTACATGCTGATAAAAAAGAAGAAAAAAGTAGCATTAAGCAAACATACTCACTAAAATAATTGAAGCAAACCTAAATTAATTGTGCAATGTAGGACACACACACACACACACACACACATATATATATAGAAAATGCAGTTGGATGGAACTGCATTTCCAGTTGCATCATTTATTGACCTAGTGACCTTTAGTTATTTCTAATCTTCTATATTATGATGTCCCGCTATGATATTTAGTAGACTCATCAAATTGCATGACTGCTGATTTTTATTTTTTGTTTGTTTGTTTTGGAAAATTGTATAAAAATGGTATTTGCATTGTACAATTCACTTCCTCTCGTATTCTCTCTCTCTCTCTCTCACACACACACACACACACACACACACACACACACACACAGTGACTTCGTGACTTTCGACACACCTTTGCCTCTAAGGCGTAATTTCAGACGATTATATCAATCAAACCCACTCACTTGAACGTCCTCCAGTCCGTGGCCCATGTCGTGCATCCCCATGTTATCACTAAGAACCGACGACTCGAGGCTGTGCGTGTGGGGCGGCAGGAGCTCCGGCCGGCGGAACCCTTCCCTCCTCACCCCAGACGAGCCTCCCTCCAGGCCCAGGATCTGACTCGCCAGCCCGCTCCTCCCGTGGGCGCCGAGTCCCTCCTGGCCCTGCCGGCCGGGCCACGGCTGCTGCTGGTTCGACGACGGCGACTGGTGTATGGAGTTGATGTTGAAGGGGTCGCCGAGGTGAGAGTAGGGGTCGCTGGACTGCGGGTAGGAGATGGGCTGGTAGGGAGGCGGAAAGTACGGGGGCTGGAAGTCCGAACTGGCCGAGTGTGACAGGGAGGGAGACGGGCTGTAGAGGTGCTGACTGACCGCCGGCAGGTGAGGCAGCCGGGGGTTCCCGTTGCTGTTTCCATCGTGCCTTTCCTGGGGGACGGAAGAGACAAGGCAGCTGAGAGAGATGCCAACAAGATGGCAGATGGCAGTGACATTTGTCACTCAGGGGAGCTGAGTGTCAGGTATTCTCTGGCAGGACGTGCACTGAAAATGATGCATTAGAGGAAAACCGTTTTACAGTTAATTTAGTTTTAGGGTTTTTATTTTGTTCAACATTATGGTTTGTGAATACTAAAAATATTACATGTTCTCACTTCTTAACAATGACCCAAATAATAATTCATGATGCTATTTTGGGGGAAAGGACGTATATTTAAACATGGCCTTTATTATTAAGCTATTTTTGTTGATGTTGTTATTATTACTGTCATTTCAGGAAATTGCAATTAGACTATTTTTTAAAAACTTTTTTTTTTTTTTAAATTAAAGTTGTAGACGTCACTCAACTTTGAACTTTTCTTTTTTTTTTTTCAAAATGTGTACTTTTTGCAGCAGCAGTTTGTCCCCTGGTTTTCCTTTTATCGCCACTTATTTCATCACTGGTCTTAGCATAAGATTTAAAAATAAATAAATAAATAAATCAAACCACAAAAACTTTTTTTTTAAGTCGATGCCACTTTCTGCAGCTTTTCTCTATCGAAACTCACCTCACAGTCATCTTCATATTTCACGTTGTCGGCTAATTTCCACAACATTTTGACCGAGAAAAGTCTCTCCGTTGCAAGAAAGCAAAGACAAGAGAAAAAGACACAAAATATATGTGTATATATATATATGTGTATCGCGAGTTAATCCCCAAAAAACAGGAGCTTCCTGGTGATCATGAACCCGCTTGTTCTTCAGCTGCAGCGAAGAGGCAAAGTTGCGGGTTGACGGCTGAAGGGCGAACTGACCCACACGCTGACTATCCGACCGCAGATATGAGTTTCCACAGGCACGATGGGAGAAAAATAATCGTTGTCAAGCAATATTTCCCCCTCTCCGGTCAGTGGAGCTCTGTTGTGAAAATGGGCGAAACCGGAGTATAAGAAACTTGACTCCCTCTGATGGACAAAACTGCGATGTTCAGTCTTATTGGTTCAAACTACACAATCTGCTTGAGCCGCACAGCCGCGCGCAGGGGGCGGCACCCCGGCCCTGTGACGTCAGCGAGTGAAGAACGTGAAAATATTGCTGATTGGCGGGGCGCTGGACCAATCAGAGTTCGGTCCGTCTCCGCGGCGTCTTTATGTGTGCGGTGTGACACATTAAATCCCATGAACTTTACTGTAGCTGCACTTTTCGTGTCTTACAGTGAGTGAAGTCTTTCACCACCCACTAATTTGTTTTACTGTGTTTGTTTTTATCTCCTCCAGTCCCATGGGCGGCTCAACCGCAGCGCCTTTCATTTCCTCGGACACTGTTCTGTTTCGGGATTAGGCTGTATTTTATGTACAGTGAGATTTATGGTGATCATTGTAGAATTATTAAAATTAATTCCATTTATCAATATTGTCTTCTTGCGGACTAACCCGTGACACCAAATACAAAAACAATACTTTGCCTGATCTTGTGTAGCCTATAATTTCATAGGAGTTGGCATAGTTTGTGTCAGAATCAACACAATGTGGTTTGATATTGTTGCATTGACAGGTTGCTATAGGTTACGGAGAGCTTTGACGCTCAGTTTAATGCCTCTCGGCCAATCACATTGCTCGGTTCGAGCTGATCTATAATTTTAGTAATGTTCTGGGCAATTAGAGGGGAAGAAAGCTTCATTATTATAAATAAAAGCCTTTATATTTCATGCATTTTAACAGTAGGTTAATAAAACCTAGACTATTAATTTGTTACTGATGTCAAGATCTGGTAATAATGAACATTTTACCTTTATTTGGTATTGTTTATAATATTTATTTATATCTATTTTAATAATTGCTTTGCATTGTTGTTGTTATTATTGTTATTATTACTATTATCATTATTGTTGTTGTTGTTATTGTTGTGTTGTTATTATTTATATTGGTAGTATATGTATTTACAATATGGAAGATTAATAGTGTGTTTACTGTACGTCCCTTACCTGTGTCTCCTAACTAAATCTTTTTGCTTATTATTCTTACTAACTCAAACTGACTTTATTTGATGTTTTTCTTTTGTTTTATTTTTGTTTAGCTATGTTTAGATTTTTTAATCTTAAAATCTTTTTTGTTTTTTTAAAATCAACATAATGCATGTCTCCGGTTTGAATGCCTCAATAGAATAATAGGGATTGAAAAAGGCCTATGACATTTTAATGTTGTCTTTTCACAGTGGTGGTTAAGAGCTCGTTTCAAACCGCAATAAGCCCGGGGGCTTAGCAGCATCATTCTCTCAAAAATCTCCAAAGCTCAAAGGATCTCAACAAAACAGCCCTTTCTCAACTTCATTTTCAATTTAGTCCAAAACAAGGCTACTTTGAAGGTTTTATATTCATCTAAACCCCAAAACACCACACACATTATTTTTGATTCCTTTGTTTAATCTCCCAGGTTTGATAAATTGGCCTATTTTATTTCGATGCTTGCAAGTTTCACGTTTAGCTCAAGAAAATACACCCTTCCTCGATCATCACTGGGCTGTTTTTGGAGTTAGATTAGATTAAATATAACTTTATTGATCCCTTTGGTAGAGTACCTAAGGGAAATTGTTGTTACTTTACTGCTTGGTTTTATATTAAATAAATGTCAGATTTGAATTTGAGAGCGTACTGGACAGACTGATGTCTCTCAGGAGAACAGCCTGTGGCGTCCGTCCGTCCACCCAAGCTGTGCATGGAAACAACAGGACGTGGGCAACAGAGGATTATCTCTCTTTTTTTTTTTCGCGTGTTGGTCCTTGGCTTGTTGTGATGCCAAGCAGAAGTGCACCACGCGCTGATTAAACGTTGTTCTACGTTGGAACAGGCACAGATCAGGCAGGCCTAAAGAAAGTTAGTCACGCTTGGTCAGACGGTAATGTCTTCAACAATCCTGATGCCCAGCTTGTCATTTTAATGACAGTCGGCTCCTGTGACAACTGATGTCAGGTGTAAAGATTAAATGGATCAGTGCCCGGACAAATTAAAAAAAAAAGCCACACAAGTCAGTGGGCGAGTTCTGCTTAGTGATTTATCAGCTGGCTCTGCCCTGAACGTGGAGCCCAGACTGCAAAAACAAAAGATAGAGCTCAACAATTATGAGCTTATTTTGAACTCTATTTGCTTTTTATTACAGACCAACAAACACCACACAGCTCCAATAAACATCCCAGTTTTATCCAGGTTACAGACATGTACTGATAATTAACTATATAATGTAATGCAAATGTATATTATATATGTTTGCATCAATCAGTGGGTAGTCAGTGCTTTCTCCTACATTTCTTCTAATTTTAAACACATTAAATTAAATCCTACTGTTTATAGGAATCATAAAAGAAAGTGAAAAAAACAAATACATGCCTATTGTAATAAAGAAAGCCAAGTCATTTCAACGTCTATTTCAGTTTCGACCGTAAACAGCATCACGGTTTGTAAATCTAGTTGCCTCAAACCAAATTGCTGGAAGTTTTCTGAGAGAATAAAGCCTTGGCCTCCTTGACATTAATCACGGGTTATTTCAAAAGCGCACACGGCGCAGCGCGATTACAAACAGGTGATTACGGTGGAAAAGTAATAAAACAAATATAGGCTCAGCAGCAAAAGCGATAAACATGAAGCAGGGTTTTTGGTTCAGTTAAATCAGCTGTAAGATGAGAAAACACACGAGTAAACTCACCCTCCAGTCTATCCTCTCCAGCACAGACATCTGCAAGGCTCCGGTCGCACCAATCCCGCTGAGAGGCAGCGAATGAGTGAAACCATGAGACTTTTACGTAGCTGACTTCACCTGATGCTCGTGCAGTGCGCATGCGCCATCCGGTGTAATACACCTGAGTGGGACAAATGAAAACAATTCACGCAGCTCCTTGAAAAAACACATTTATTTCGAACTATAAAAAGCAACAAGCACGTTAAATTGCTTAAGGGGAGAAAATGAGGGCATGAATGAGTGAAAAAAAAACACATTTTGAAATATTGTATGTTTAATATTTGACTCATAGGATTAAATCTATAATCGAGATTAAACCTAATCTCATAATTACCTGCAACTGTTGAATAAAGAAAAAAAAAAGAAAAAAAAAGAAAAAAAGAAACAGTGTCAACGAGGCTAAAGTTTAAGAAAAGGTGAAAAAAAAGACGTGGGGAAATTTTAAGATGAGGTAATTCCACCCCCAAAGCCTCACCGCCTCAGGCTGACCAAAAGAATCTGCTTTCAAAAGCCACTGGAGCTTTTTAAGGCCTAAAATGGCTCCTGTTATCTGATCTCCTCAAATCTTTATCTTAAACTAATGAACAGATCAAAGTGTCTTTGCTATGTGGTTGAGAATGTAGCTTACATATCTTGTTCTGAGAAAATAATCGTACACCTTTCTGATCTGCAGGCCGACACCTGCCATAAAACAGAAGCCTCATCAAACAATGCGATTTTAAACAATAGGAATCAGTTCAACAACAGATACGTCTGACACTGATGCTTTTATAGTTATGAAAAGATGCATTTAATTCCAAAACATGTGAAGCCTTTCGGCCCTAATTGCAAAAGACCAGCTGTATGTACCGTTTTGTGTTTTTGACGAAGAAATAATAGTTGGATGTGGGGGGAAATCCCCGAAATGTGTTTGAATCACAAACATTTGCGTTGTTTGGTTAATTTTTTTCAAAGAAATTTTACAAAGTCTTACAAATTAGCATTTACTTTAGAGTGAAACCGTTGAGATAAACATTTTTAAAGAAGCATCCAACAACAGCAAATCTCATAGTTGCTTCCTCATGCTGTCGGAGGTAAATATCTATTTACCCAATATTATGCGGCAACACACAGTCAATAAGGCTCTTAAAAAGAAAACCGCTACTGACAGTTATGTATTTTTGCCGTTTTGCAAAGACAATGCGATTTTTCAATGACAAAAAAACAAGAGGTTAGTGAAAAAGTGTGCTTTTGTGGTTCCTGCTATTGATGCACTGATTCTTTGTGAAGCAGCAGATGTTGGTTCAAACGCGTGCGCAAAGACGTAACAGCAAAACGCAAGACAAGACGACGATGTTTATTTCAATTTTTAGCCACAATAATTGGATTATTTATGGTATAAGTTACATTTAATGGGAAGCAGGCAGACACCCCTTTCTGTGTTCTTTTTATTCTTTTTATTTATTTATTTATTTTTTTTTACTGCAGCCTTATTTCTAGAATCCCAGTCGGCGATAAGGACGCCTCTGCTGCCCCCTTTTGGATACATCCTCACATTACCACTGAGAGCTGGACCGAGAAAGGATAAACATCACTTGGGGTCCAGTTGATCTTACCTGGTTGAAATTAAAATTTTCGTACTGATCTATTCATTGGAGGAATGGAAATTAAGGATGTTTACTCAATCACTATGCGGCAGTTTAACGAAAGTGAATTATTTTTTTTATTAATGGCAAGTACTTCTACTTTACAACATCAGAGAGAAATACTGTACTTTTTCACAGCTATATATACTTGTTACATTTCAGATTGGCATTTTTACGCAAAATGAACAGACGCATATGTGATGCACTTGTACATGTTACAGGAGAGAATAAACAACCCAACAATACACGTACAAAGTGCTGCTTAAACATGAATGCATCAGTCATAGTAATACGCTTAAAAATAATCACACGGAACCATTTACTGCCCTAAGTTGTTTGTTTTTGTTTTGGAATCATAAGTTGTCTGTCTCTCAGCGTAGCCCTGTGATAGACTGGTGACCTGTCCAGGGTGTCCCCTTTCATCACCCCAAGTCAGCTGGGATAGACTCCAGCCCCCCGCGACCCCAGTGAGGATTAAGTATAGATAATGGGTGGATGAATAGATTTAAAAGTTAAATTACATCATTACATACTCACCCTCTCTGACATTGAATAATCCAGAATTTATGTATATGCAAATACTGCATGTTTTCCACGTTTTATGTTCTCTTAAGTGTGTCCTCAGTGTGTGCACTACAGGCTTCAAGTTTTCACATCACATTTGTGGAGGTTGCAGAACGGAACAAGACTGCTTCCATGTGATGTGGTAAAATCGTGCTTATATGTATCTGTGTTTAACTGAAATTGTACAGGTGAGCACAGGGAAACTTTCCATCTTCAGCTGATGAATGTAAAAAAGTGCCTTTTAGTCAGAACTCATTCTGCACAGACCAAGTTAAACATCCAAAAAGCATTCACTGGAGCATCTTGACGCCATTGGGAATTTTTTGTGTTTTATTGTATCTTTTATTTAAGCAAAAAGATCTGAACATTTTCAATCACACAGAACACATTCACACCTTCTGAAAAGACATGCAAGCTACGCAACAGGAGCTTTTTATAGCTTGTTTACGGTGTGAATTTTCCCTTGAAGGGCACAGCAGGGGGTTGATGTTTTTGTCATCTCAGGTAGTTACTGCACGTTCTTGCGCTTAGCAGCACTGTGTAATCGATGATAATACTACAGATTAGAGACAAAATAGTAGCAACTAGTGCATTGTGCTTGGAATATAATTTGTATAACACAAAGTGAGAAATTAACATCAAACAGCTTAATTTAATTGAATGGAAACTTGTCATGACAGCTGCATGTTACGTGCAAAAAAAGAGAGACAATAATAAATGACTGGATTGCAAACTGGATAAAGCAAAATGTTTTTAATCTCCTTTTAAAACACTTTCTCAAGAAGAGTGGTTCAGTTTCAATATGAGTATAACTGGAGACCAGTGTAACATCCTGTGTTAGTTTTCACATCAGAAATCATCCACAAAGGCCAAACACTTAGACAAAGGCTTTGGAAAAAAAAGAAAATGCTGACATTTGTGATGCTGAAGACTGAAGCAAAATGTGTATTTTCCAGCTTCGAACTCCTTCTTAGTAAAGCTACAGTTTGTCTTTTGATGTGTGTGGGCTATATTTCTGCACATCAGAAACTTGAATAAATAGATCAGATTAATATATGATCTTTGCTAAGCTCAGTTCCTCCCCCACCAACCCACTTTTGAGGGAAAATAAAATAACCAACACAAAATAAGAACAATTCTCTGCAAAACCTAATAATATAAAATATAAATGACAGTCCAGCACATACTACCAGCTTAGAAGGAAAGAAGATGTAGCTTAAGTGTTCATTCACAGGCCACATGCCATGTTGAGATGTCATTAAAAAGCTGCACTCCGTCCACTAGGAGACAGCAGAGTGACAGAGTTAATAAAGTCACCCATGCATTAATTCTCAAAGCACCTTTGAGGGAGAATGCAGAGCTGTGGGTGAATACATGGGGGAGGAATTAGTCAACAAAACAAATGGTATGAACAGCTTGGGGAGCTGTTAACAAAATGTTCACAACATGTAAACACTAAGCTACTGGGGACTAAAGAGTCAAGTTGGGAATGAGTCCACGCATTGGTGACATTATCAGAGCTCATGTGGGTCTGTGTGTGTGTGTGTGTGTGTGTGTGTGTGTGTAGGTGTGTGTGTGCATGTGAGAGAGAGAGAGAGAGAGAGAGAGAGAGATTAGATTTCTAAAGAGTAATGAGTCTTTAAATGGGTTGCAATTTCTAAAGTAATCTTGAATTGGTGGCCTCTGCTCTGAGCATTAGTTACTAGAAGTGATAAGGGGTGTGGGTGACCCAGTTGGATGTCTGGTCTTTAGTGCGCTTGGCAGAGCTGTGGGTGGTAAACAGGGATTTAAAAGCCTCGGACTTCTCCTTCATATCCTGGATCGACCTCTTGGTGGCAGATGTTGTGGAAGACTTGGTGGCTTTAGAGGAACCGGAGGATCCAGAGGGTCCAGCCACAGCTGGGTGAAAAAAAGACCGGTGACATAGCAGGATGAAGAAGAGGACAAAGCCAGACAAAAGAAGAGAAAGCATTTGTAAAAACAAGGGAAATACGACAGAAAGGAGGAGAATTTTCTCAATAAGCATTTATCTTTCTTTCATCTTAAAAGTTTGTTAATGCACTAATACAGTCTACTTTACCTCTGTGATGTACAGACACTGTATTGTAACTAGAGTTATTTCAGTAACTAAAATAGCGCTTAATATGATGTCAAGAGACAAAGAGCCTAAAAGAGCATTTGAGTTTATATTAACTGCAAAAACAGTATTCAAAACCAACCTGTTTAAAAAAAAAAGAAGAGTTTTTCAGATTTTGTTTCTTTTTATACATAGCTAAGGATGCTTTACTGCAGTTTAAAGTGCATAAGACAAGCTTTTTGCGATAGTTAATTATTATGAAGTAAACCTTGAATGCATGAGGAATAATGACATGACTGACATTTAGATTGGTTTCCTATGACCCTTGCTTTTATGTGAAGTTCTGTCTGACACCAGGTCTGTGAATATTTGATTTAATTCTGAAATTCACAACCAGAGTGACTGGAAGTAGAAACGAAAGAGGAAATACAATGGACACAGAGGTAACAAACGATGTGAGCCTCAGATGGCCTTCCTCAATTGAGAGAGCTTCGGCATTTGAAAGGGATCTAAAATTACATTCAACTGGAAATATTTCTGATAGACTGGTGACCTGTCCAGGGTGTCCCCTGCCTTCGCCCTAAATCAGCTGGGATAGACTCCAGCCCCCCAGCCCCCCCACGGCCCTCGTGAGGATTAAGCGGTGTATAGATAATGGATACATGGATGGATGGATGGATGGATGGAAATGTTTCTATAAGATCTGTAAGTAACAAAACCACTCTACTTAGTAAATGTACTTTTCCTTTATCATAACACTGAACCTGGTGTTTCAATTTTAAATTGAGACTCTTGAGGTTGTTTCCAGCTTTGGACAATCGCCTGGCTGTTAAAACTTTAGATACTTCCTGATGTCTCGCTGATTACACTGGGTTACAAAAATGTTTTTTTGAAGGTGTCTAGGATTTATTAACTGATTTAGGTCATTTTTGCAATGCTGAATCTGCTTTTATGTATCAGGTCAGGTTTTTATACCAACTCCATTTAAAAAAAAAAGAAAAGATTTTGCCACTAAATCGATTACATTTTCTGACATTAGTGATTGGTTTATTTTAGTATGTCTCATATGCAATCGGATTTCAGAGGAAAAAAATCATTTTCTAATCCTTTTCTTAAGCTAAATGATCCAGAAGTTGATGAGCGTAAACATTTGTAAAGATAAATACAAGTTCACAAGTTCATAGGTTCATAAACCAGGGAGTAAACTTTCTATCTAAATTTAATTCACCTGCAAATATTTATAGTATCAACTTGTTAAGGTTTCAGAATTTGTTCATTTCAGGAACTAGAAAAAGAATTTTGTATGATGCAAAGCATAGATACCCGCACATGTACATAAAATATATTTTTTAAAAAGTGCATGTGGCGACAAATCAAAATGTTGACCTCATTGAGCAAAACCAATGTAATATTTGGATTCAGCACATTGCAACTGTCCAAAATCAGCTCAAAAAACTTTGACAACAAAATGGGTGTAGACCAGTGTTATATATAACAGTTCTCTTTCGGAAACATTGCTGTTTAAAGGTGGAACATTTTTTACATGAATTCTGCTGTCTTCTGAACAGTGGCTGGGTTTGTATTTATGAGAGCAAAGTGTGGTTATCTACCTGACTGGCTGCTTTCACCACCATTCTGTAGTGAGCTCGTTCCAGTCGCATCCACAGGTGGAGACTCTGTGTCTTCTGTGGGAGACAGGAGAATCAGACAAGACAGATCATGTCATTCAGTGCAACTGGTGAACAGTCTAGAGTGTGCCCTGTGTTCTGAGACAGGCTCCAGCCCCAACACGACCTTCTAAAACTATAAGGGGGTACAGCTAAAAGATGACTGCTACACTGATTTAGACTGATACATTTGTTATGAACTTGTAAACATTACAAAGAAATTGTAAGAATCTACTCCAGCCGTCACCAGTATATATTGCATGAAGATTGTGGACATAGAGAGCAGGAGAGGTTGTGGCCTTAAACCAAAACTTGTCCGTTTTCTAGTGTTTAAGCCCAATACTTAAAAAAAAACAAAAAAAAAACATAACCTGCTTTCATAATCACAAAGAACTTTCATACAGGCAGGAGGAGGAAAGAGCACATTTTTGTTGTTTCGGTGCAAAGTTTTCAGGTTTAAGTCAAATAAACATCAGGTGTTTCTTAGCCAACATCCTGTTCATTTGTAAGGTTAGAATCCAGTCCTGTACAGGAGAACTAAACAGGAAACCACACCAACGGTCTCTGAGGACACACAACACTGGAAGCCTCTGAAAATTCATAAACACAGGGCCGACGTTAAGGTACAGTACCTGCTCTATTATCACTACTTTAGCATTTCTTTGCTCATTTATGAATAAATAAAAACTGGGATTTGTAATACATGTGTTCACAACTCTGGGAATCATAAATAATAGGACAGATAATGAAGACCTAATCCATAACGATTCCACTAAATATTTGTGTTTTTCTCTTAAAAGAAGTTATGATTCCCCAAAAAGCCCACCAAAATCAGGTTGTTATATGCATGAGGTACTTTACAAATAGACACTGTGGGTCTGTAAACCATTACAAAACCAATTTAGGAAATCATGTCTGACTGACAATGACTGTAAAACCACAAAAAGCTACTGAAACAATTTTAAAGTATGACTATTGTTTCGACTAATCTACCAGCAATTGGTCATGAGATGCGATGCGTCAGGATCCAGGTGGCTTACCAGAAGATATGTATGAGATGCAACTATTAAATAATAACTCTAATGCTGTAATCTAATTATATTTATTTTAATTTCACTTATTTTGAGCAGATTAAAACTCTCAAGGGTTTTCTGGTCTGGTGCCGGCACAAATCACGCTGGGGTTCTTACACCTTGTGTATCATTAGTGACTAGACCTAGAGACTTAATGCGAGTCAAAGGTCCAAACAACCTGACTGCTGCACTTTCAAAACATTATCCAAATGAAGGAATACCTAATCTGGTGTTTTGCAAGTTGCATAGTTTTGCTTATGTAAATGCCACACATTTGTCTTAAATATAATACCTTACTTAGGCTTTACACAAACCTTTTGTTTCTGATGGAGTGGACACGGTTTCAGCTGCTTTGCTCTTCTTTGTTTTCTAAAAAGGGAAAGGCAATGTACAGAAGAAAATCAAGCTTAGCTACAAACAGCTTGACTGGATGAATCATGTTTTTAAGCATTTAATTGTAGTGAAGAAAAATATTTTAAAGCTGACAGACACCAAATCAAGCTCAAGAGTCCGGTAAGATAATTTATATGTAGCCTATTTGAAATCATAAATTGGTTCAAAGTAAGACCCACCTTAGTTTTGGCTTTGGCCCGCCTCTCATCCATCCTGTCCTTTAGCTTTTCCACTTCCTCTTTAGTGCCATTGAGCACCACAATATCTTCATCTTTAAACGGATCCCCACACTGAAACAAAGATAATATACCAGGTAAGACACACTGACTGACTAATACAGAAAAAACTTTTCCAACAAATGCAAAGACAGTTCATATTCTGCCTTGAAACGTCAGTTTACTAACTGTTATTTATGTTGATTTACCATTTAACTAATGTTATTGTAATTATGTGACTAATTGATAAATGTTTACAAAAATTAATACTGATTGTGCAGATATTGAAGCTTGTAATGAATAAGAGTTAAGAATTTTTCTTGAGTACCAGTAGATCAAGAGCAGAACAAAGCAGATTTAGATGAACATCAATTTGACGTCCTGTAATTTGGGGTACATGTTTTGCTGTTATATAGTGATTTACACTGATTCTGTACAACTTTACACTGCTGATTTCAACAGATTTAATGCAATATTTCAGTGTTAAATAATTAATTAGTTAACTACATCAAGTGCATTAACATCCTAAAATCCAAGCTGCTGTATTTTTGTGGTGAGGTTAAACCTTACACTTCTTAAAATATGTGACTTCAAAGGACACTGAATGTGCCCCATGGATTTTTCCTCACCTATACCTTGAGATGTAAATTTCACAATTTGAATGTTAGGCTAGTTTGAAGACACAAGTCTGAAAAGGTCAAAGATCTTTGTGTTTACCAGCTCAGGTAGAAGTTCAACTTTACAAGTTCAGGTGCACAACAGGGAAGTAGATATAGTCCTGCTTTGTCTTGCAAAACAATTGTTTGTTTATTCTGCTGGATGAAAACCTCTAAAATTGTTCATGAGGTATTTGTGGCAAGAATTAGCTAGGCTGAAAAAGCAAATAGTAAAATAAGTCAAGTTATTTTCATATGCAACTGCATATCTCTGCTCTGTGAATATATGTGAATGTGAAATACAAACACAAGGAGATGAACACAATTATGAAAGATCAGCATTCAAGCCATTTCTTTGCCACATCCCTTTTCACTATATTTGCATGCAGGCTGCATTTCATGTACTCAGAGGGGAAAGCCATCTAAATACAGTGGAGCACAGGGAAAAAGGCAAATCCAGTCAGACAAAACATACACACTGATACACACAAGCCTAAGGATGCTGTAGTTTTCCACTCTGAGCGCTCAGTCAGAATTCATTAGAAGAGGAGATTTTGTCAGACTTCATCAAATATTTACTCGTTTGTTGCAGACCTAATAAAATTTTGACGGATAATTCATCATTTTTGATGAACTGATTTCTCTATAAATATTGCTAGTAGTACCAACATTTGCTTTATCCACAATAGTTTATAAAATGTTTTAAAGCCTAGCCAATAACCAAAGCCTCATTGTAGTGAGTCTAACCTATTAAAGATGAAAAAAGTCTTTACGCATAATTATGTGTATTACTAAAACAACATAAGTATTGTGACTGCTTTATTTAAAAAAAAAAAAGAAAAAAAAAAGAAAGAAAACCCACCCATATACAAACACAAATATTAAACCCCTGAGTAACCAGCAGGGGATCTATTGTGTGTTCGTAATGCGGGCTCAGTGGGTTTGAACTCAGGCCATGTGCTCTGTTCAACACAAGAGGGATAATCTCAGAAGCTGACCAAGCAGCAAACAAACTCTGTGGGTGCTGCTCTGAAGTCAGTCACTCTGCTGTTGCTATTACTAGAAATGACACAGCTCACCAGTGAGCTGAGCACTATACCATGAAGTCAGGAAACAAGAATCCTGCTTTACATTTAAAAAAAAATCTTGTTTTACTTGAAAGGCAACAAGCAGGTGAACAAGACACAGAGATGTGCTCAGTGAAGAGACACTGCAGATAATTCAGTACTAACTTGGCAGACTAAATTTAGAATATTGAAAAGACAAATGAAGGAACTAGACGTAAAGGGGTTTAAGGAAAAGTAATGGAAAGCAAGAGGACAAAAAACAAACAGATGCCACACACCGGTGAGTAGAAAAACCTCAAGAAAGACGTGTGAGTGTGAGTGTGTGCGTGTGGGGGGGTGGTGGGAGGGGGGATGTGCGAGCATGTTCTTGTGTGTGTCAGGTGTGTGATTGGGTGTTACTGCTGGTAACCAGGCAGGGACGGACCTTGTCTCCTGGGGGTGTGGGGGGAGCAACTTAATCAGGAATGAGCACAACTAGAAACAAAACACACACACACATTCGCAAAACACTGTGCCTCACCCAGACGGGGTCTCAAGCTCAGAGAACGAAGCCTCCCAGCCAGGATATAACAAGACAACAACCAAATTTAGCTCTAAATTAGCAGACGCTGCTGCTGCTGTTGTTCCTGCTGTTGCTGATAATGGCGCCAATGGAAACTACTTCTGTTCACCGCAGCACTCTGGATGTATTCTAATAACTCTGAAGGTTTACTTCTTCATCATAGGGACCACAGACTCAACTGCCTCGAAGGTAACTGGCTAAACTTATCCTGTCTTTGGCATTCTGTCCTTACATACTGTATCTACATTTTTGTGTGTCTTACACTGATATGATCTTTAGATGTGCGATCTAGACACCATAAACATGACAGCAGTTGTAATCCCAAAACAAATGTTAAGAATCACCTTAAGCAATGGATCTAAAGGTTACAGACTGAGAATAAAAATCTCTGTCTACAAACAGTAGGAGCAAACAAGCAGGAAGCTATTTCTTATCCGTTTTCTTTCATGCTATGTAGTGGCTGCTTTTTTCAGTGTCTCGAGTTAGGGCATCTTGGCAGAAGATTAAAAATGTGCACATTTTCATGGCAGCCCCCCCTGTGGATATCTGCATCGTTGGTGCTGCTCTCAACTGGGATTTACCATCGGGGGGCTAAAGTGAAGATGTGATATGTGATTTAGAATAGTCTTTAGAGACCTCCAAAGCTTCTCTGCTCTCTAGCACTGGGACATAAAACCTATTGTTTTACCCATAGCCTAGTTTGCTCAACACAGAAACACCCAGCTCATCAGCTCAATTAAAAGCAACTATATGCCTGTTACATCCTGCAATATGTTGAAATCATTAACCATTCAAAAGTGTATCACAATTTGAATATCACAATTTGAATATCACACTTTATACACTTCAAAGGTGAACTGTGCAAACTTAATGTTGAGTTTGCCACACAAATGCTACCCTTAAAAGAGATTCAATTCAATTCAATTCAATTTTATTTGTATAGCGCAGTTTACAACACATGTTATCACACAGCGCTTAACAATATAAGGAATAGACTTTACAAATGTAAAAAGAGAACCCAACAACCCAAAGTAGCCTTTGGATTGTTGGGTTCCCACCCCGCGGCAGAACCAGGCTCAGGGAAGACAGCCATCTGCCTCAACCGGTTGGATTAGAGTGGGGATGAGGAGGGGTGGGGAAAACAGGATAGCAGACGGAGAGCAAGCAATAGAACAGAACAATAAATATGAACATCAGTACAAAACAAACATGCAAAAAAATCGATAAAATTGTAATCGCTTGAGTGAAATGATTAAATTGTCCATGTGCCTTGAAAATCCCTTTCATAAAAAGTGGTCAAATACAATAGAATATATTTTATTTATCCCAGACCTGGGGAATTATTGTAAACAGCAGCATCCAAAAATCTTGAAAGAAAGTACAAGAAAATAACAAAAAAGAGGCCTTATTTCGGTGGAACATGTTAATATGGGGCTTCAGTATCAAAAGTATGTGATATAATGTTCTCCATCCAAAGTCAGTCGGCTCTTAAGTCCAGACAAATGTCTCTCTACTGAGCAGCTTAGGAGGTTCCACAGAAATATTTAGCAAAATATGTTCCAAATGACACAAACTGCGTTTTAAATAAAAACAATCTAACAACATACATTGCAAGGTATCACACTTACTCCCACAGTGCTGCCCTTCACCGAACTATTCTAGTCAACATAATGCTGTTTGTTTACCGAATGCTATCTGCTGTACCTTGCACATGTAGCTCCTGATGAATTCCTTAGGTTTCAGACGATCTGCTGAAGGTTCATTCAGTGAGTCTCAACTAAGGCTTTCATGATTTTTTATTGCTTCACCGCTTTCAGCACTGCTAAAAAATGTTTAAACTTTTAGGTATGTTTAGTCTATCAATTACTCTAGAAGCAACTTCTGTCTGAAAATACCATCCTCAAATACCCACATCTTTATCTCAAGATTTGTTTTCGTTTTGTTTGCAAGATGCTTCAGCTTATGTCGACCAGACAGTTTAAATAGCAAATGGGCCATTTTTTAACTTGATAAGTAATTCAACCTATTATCAAAATTGTAAGTCTGGCATTTTTTATTGATCAAACAATGGAATAAACAACTATGTAATCATGGTAACGCTTGCCTAATATTATGTATTTTAAAACGGGAATTTCATGGCTGTGTTGAAATTGTTTAAGTAATCCATGCTTTGCCAATTTTCTGTCTATTTCATCTCTATTTCTCTATTTTTATTCATTGGTTTGTTGTGATATAAAATAGAAGGACAGCTCTCTTCAACTGAAATTTGTCACTGCGTTATGATTTGAAAAAGGGACCTGACAAAGTTTGCTATAACTACTATATGCCACAGTACGATAACTATTTGAGAAAGAGATAATGTGCAGTCAGTTAATGTGTCACATCTCAGATACGAGTTATTAATAGACTAGATTTGAACACTAAACTTCTAAAAACTGGCTTCATCAATTAGACTCAACCTACATATTTAACCCTATTTTACATTCCTCAGGGGGTTTAGGACACTTTTGCAAATAACCAAAGTGGATGTCTCTATTGCAGGAGCTTCATCTGTGGTGGTGATACTGACAGACTACAGAGAAACAGGGCTATTATGCGTCAGTTTGAACGGAAAAAACGCAGCTTCCTGTTGTGCCTGGGGATGAGCGTTATCGTCAGTTCATTTATATATTTGAGGAGTAGGATGCCCGCTGAGACAAAGCCCCTACAACCTCCAAGTTGCAGACCCTTCTCCTCTGAATGTAAAGCTTTTCTGCTCGGCAAGGAGAAGGAAGTAGAATGGAACCGGCGTGACTGCCAGGTATGTTTTTTTTTGTTATGTACGTTTGTGCAATGGAATGCAGAGAAAATTCTGGATCAAATGAACCTGTGTTAGCAGAGTAATACTTACACACTTATGTAATTGCTCTAGTAAAAACAGAACATCAAGTTGAATTTTTTTTTTTTTTTTAAAAGAACTAAATAAGTCTGGTCACCACAAGAGTGGAGACCAGACAAAATAGATTCTGTAGTGGCAAAAATGTGTAAAACAGTAAAATAAAACAATCAGTCAAACTGAACAAGTACTTTAGAGGATTCATTACCTGATAAAGCCCATAAATGTGAGCACACATGGAGAACGAGAGCCCTGTTTTATAACAGCAATAATGTTAATATGTCTGTCAACAGGTGGAAAGCTATATTCTCAATAGCAGTGTGCAGTGTTCCAGTTTGACCACAGATCTACACTTTATCACAAGACCTCTAAGTCGTGAAGAGGAGGACTACCCTTTAGCTTTCATTGTGACTGTTCACAAAGAGCTTGAGCTTTTTGTGCGCCTACTGCGAGCTATTTACATGCCACAAAACGTCTACTGCATTCATGTGGATACCAAAGCACCATGGCAGTATCGAGCAGCCGTACGGAAGCTAGTCAGCTGCTTTCAAAATATCTTCCTCTCCAGTCGCAGTGAGACTGTGACTTATGCTGGGTTTTCTCGCCTGCAAGCAGATTTGAACTGCATGGAGGACCTCGCAAAGTCCACAGTAGGCTGGAAGAAGGTGATGAATCTATGTGGACAAGATTTCCCTGGCAAAAGCAATCTGGAACTGGTACAGTACTTGCAAAGCAAAGAGTGGAGGGACAGAAACATGACCCCTGGGGTCAAACAGCCAGTGACTATGAGCCACAGAACACAACTCCAGCACAAGGAAATTGTGGGGTCACATGTGGCTCCAAAAGGGCCAGGACTGAAGAAAGGTCCTCCTCCACACAATCTGCAAGTATATTTTGGAACAGCCTACTTTGCTCTGACGAGGCCTTTTGTAGACTTTGTTCTGGAAAGTCCAATAGCACGTGACTTCTTGGAGTGGTCCAAAGACACATTCAGCCCAGACGAGCACTACTGGGTGACACTAAATCACATCAAAGGTAAACTCAAAAACACAACACCTACATACTACTTCTGACATAACCTGATTCTACTTTCTACAGCATAAACCCTTGTTCAGATTAATTATTAACTAGTGTGATTATGATGTTTAAACAAAAGGAGACAAAAAAAAAAAATCAATGCAACAAGGTCGAATGAGATCAAACAACACATGTGATCCTTAAACTTTACATGCTGGCTCATTCATTGACTGTGCTTTTATAGCACAGCTTAAAATGCCAACTTTGCATGATAAATGTGATGGACAGCAATCAGAGATTATGGAGGAAGACATGAGCTAGGTTCCTTTTCAAGTGACACATTTTTGAAGAGCAAAATAATTAGCTGACATCAAAGATGGAGAAATTGGCTGACAGTAGAACCACCAATTTAGAAAGAATGGAGCCTGGACTCTTAGATTTACTTGAAAGCGAGTCATAACATGAATACGGTGATTTACGTACATTTCCATTCATCTACTTTGATGTGGGAATGCCAGACATTTAAACCAAAAATAAATAAATATTACAAAAATATTTTACATTTAGGTAAAAAAGTTGCTGCACTGAAGTGCAACAAAGACTGGCCCTCTTTGACTTATTTTATCTTGTTTTACACTCTTGCAGTGATGTAACTGCACTCTACTGAAGAATTAGCACCACCGAGTGTTTCTCTCAATACACCTAGTTGTTAATATTTGCATAATAATGTTGATAATAATAATAAAAAAAATAATCTAAAAAGCCACATTAATTCATATTTTCATTTGACTTTTTTTTAATATACTGTACTTCTGTTTAAAGTTGCATTAAATGTTTAAATGTGCTCTAGCACATAAGGAAAATGTGGTATGAAATACAATCGTGACTCGATAATGCAACACTACGTGTAAAACCTTCTTTTATGTTGATAGCAAGGCTGTCGGATTGTCAAGACGGAGGTTGAGATACAAGGAGGGCTTGATGCTTGAAGGGTAATTTGTTGTTAATATTTATTGTTTATAGTTGTTATGATAACTAGGGTATTGTTAGAACACTACGCTGGATTCCACGCCTAATTGACCGGTGCACTTGTGCACATTCTGGCCACTTCCACCCCATCGGAGCGCACCCCTGAGGTGGAAGTGGCCGGAACGCACAGGCAGTACTGGGCTGCTGATGCCAGTTTAGGATAGCAGTAACAGTTCTGTTTTCACCATCGGTGGCGGCGGCGGCAGAGGAGTGGCGGGCAAGATACACTCCACCGTTACCACCTGTGTTTACTTCTGAGCACACTCGCTGCGTGTGATGTCGTTGTGTCCTCTTCTGTGCAGGCAGGACACTTTTGGGTCGTATGAAGTTCACACAGCAGATCACATACAAGTTGCATTTAACTGGAAATGTGAACGAACTTGCAAAAAAATCTGACTTTATAAAAAAAATCCGAATTGAGCATTAAATCCTGCAGGCTGAACAAAGCCAATCTGTCAGATTGTTAAGTCAGATAGTACGCTGTTATCCTTATATGTGACATAAAATGTCATGTCGGAGTTGGAATCCAAGGCTGTCGGTATATTAAGGCTAGTTTTAATGGGTTCAGTTCGTTTTTCCTAAACACCTGTTGGACAGCAAGTTTTTTTGATAGTTAAGGGTCGGATTATCAAGTCACGACTGTAGGTAGTAAGGCTAAACCAAGAAACCAGTCATTATAGCCACTGATAATAGTTATTTTGTAATAATGTATCTGTAGATAAGATAATGTATATTTTATCTCATCAGGTTGATCTTGTTTTTTTATGGTATGCATTTGGATGGTTCCTTCAGAACAGCTTAGGGAGGTGACTATGCACTGCTTGTAATTACAAATGCATTGAATCAAACTAACCTGCTTGTCTGGATGTGGGAATTCATTTCTCTCCTTCAAAATCAAAATGCATTGTTAAAAAACATTTCAGTTAACATATTAACCTCAACTTTGCGTGGCTTGTTCATGAATGTTTTTGCAATGTGCTTGTTGGTCTGTCTTCAGCAGAAAAATCACTCAATACAACTACAACTGTGTCTAACAATAGTTGGAGGGTCAGTTTGTGCTCTCTGGCCACAGTGGACAATAATGAGCCTCAATATGGCAAAGAAGATGCAATATTTGAAAAAACCTAATTGTACAAGCTGCACAAAAATTAGACTTATGGAAGTGTTTTCCAGTTTTATAAGATAAATGGCTTTAAGGATGAGAACTAACTGGTTGTTTTGGTAAATGCATCTCTGATGAATGTCCTCACTTCCAATAAAGACAAGTAACACAGTGCCTTCTCGACGCGCTTTGATGGGAAGCATGCAGGATTGCCTCAGAAGCAGGCTAAGACAGTCCCAAACAGGGCTAAGTAAATATTTACAATTCAATTAGGTCACATGATCATGATTAAGTTTGTCTGGTTATGTTTTTGAAGATGCTCCAGGCAGCCACATTGATGGAGGTTGGGCAGGAGCAATCCGGTCAATCAAGTGGAGGGATCAAGAGAGAAAGACACACAATGGTTGCAAAGGTACACTAAAGTAAATATACATAAACAGAAATACAATTTTATTGATTATCCACTGCAACACAACTTAAATTCTGTTCATTTTGCTCAACTGTGCATTACTAATACTTGATATTTTGGAAATGTCAGTGTCATAAAATCTGCTGAGTAGATAGATGACATCATTTAATAGTGCCTCATGATAACTTTAATAGGTTAAAGATTTTTTTTTTTAATCTAACAATACAATACATTCATACACAGGTAGATGTACATGTTTTACCTAACAATAAAATACATACATCTTCTCACCCACAAGCACACAAACCTGCCGACAAACTCACACAGCATGATGAAAGCTCTGAAATTCACAATTGAAGGAAAAAAATCCCTTTCCAGGACATTATGTACGCGACATCTGTGTCTACGGAGTAGGAGACCTACCATGGATCATCGACAGGAACAGCATGTTTGCCAATAAGTTTGAGAGGAACACCTATCCCGAGGCACTGGACTGTCTGGAACAGTGGCACAGGAACAAAGTGCTGGACCAGGCAACTGTTCCTATAGAGCCGTCATGGCTGCTGGCCACACAGAGAACGTCAAGCAGAAGCCGCTACATTAAGAGCAGTGCTGGTGCATGAAATGTCTGTTGATATTGTGAACAACAGTCAGGATACATGCAATTCAGATAATTTCCACTTGTTTTGTGGTGTCCATGCAAAAATGTGAATAAGAGAAAACTTAAGTGAGAACGAGAGGATAATATCAGTGTGCACTTGCACAGACTGTAGTGTGGCTACTGTTCCCATAAATGTGTTGACTTAACAATGAGACTATAGGATGGCAGTTTTTTTAATGATAATTGTGTGACAGTGTATATGCCAGTAGACTATCACTGTCATTTGAGACAACTACTATACAAAGTATTGAAGAAAACATGAAATAAAGATCTCTATTGGTTTAATATGTTTCAATGTTGTACAGCTAAAAAAAAAAAAAGAAAGAAAAGATATTTGTTGATAAATCTATTGTCTGTTATTCCTATGAAATAAGGTGCAAACAAATAAAGGAAAATATTTTGAAATATTGTACTCATGGTCTTGCTTTATAAAAGACAGAAAAACATAACATGAATTTTAATTCTCACATTATCATCTGCAACGTTTGTCAGTGACTGCGGAGATTAGAATCTTTGAGTAATTTGAGATATTTTTAAGTTCCTTCATTCTCAAAATAAAGGTTCTTAGTCATTTAGGTCATAGGATTACCTAGTAAGTCACACCTTACTGAGGTTTTTCTTGTTTGAGGTTAGAAACTTGTCTAGATTGAGATATGGATATATACAATACTTCTATTGACAGATTATGTAACTCAAAAGTGACTAGAAAGAGCTATAAGTCCCATACCTCTAACACAAATAATCAATGTAACATCAATGCTTTATGGTATATTTAGACCACTACTAGCGCGAAAAATACAAGGGACTGGTTAAATGTGGGCATGCGGCTTCACGACATATGTAGAGTTTAAAAGACAGAGCAAAGAGTCTACTATAAAAGGTTAATAAATGCACTGAAACAAAGTAGGAAAAGAAAAGAAAAGAGAAGAAAAGAAAAGAAAAGAAAAGAAAAGAAAAGAAAAGAAAAGAAAAGAAAAGAAAAGAAAAGAAAAGAGGGAGAAAGGGAGACAGGCTCAATCTTATCGTCCACCCAATGACACATCCTCTGAACTCCTACAGACTAGTCAGACCCTGACCTGCTCAGCAAATCACATATTAGGGCCATTAAAAGCCATTTCATGTGCTACACTATTAGGAAGAATGCAAAAGTGGCCCTCTGAAGGCAAGGAAAAACAAAAAATACAAGGAAGAGCACTTTCTAGGGAACTAGAAAGTGTCCGAAAATCATGACAAACCTTTTTTCAGTCATTCTATGTTTTTTGCTTTGAAAGATTAAGTCCTACAACTACATATTTCCATATTCTCTAAACTTGCCAACAACTGTCTATACTATATTATCTGGACAGTCAGACGTGCTGTTAAATATGATGCAAGTTCAGTCCGCCAAAATATTGAAGCTAAAAAAATGTCCCTGTGTTGCCTAATAAGCCTATCTTAGCAAAAACCTCCCAGTTTCCCATGAGAAGCACTGTAACTTTTTGTGGCTGGTTTGTTTGTCCTATTTCTCACAAAGTCAAACAACTGATCTGTGACTGATCCGAGGTGCTTTCACCTCACAAGAAACCACAACAGCAACTTGCTAGCATCTGCTGGACTCAAAATAGCTTGTGCATGGGAAATTCTGACAATTTTTTAAAAACCACTTAAAGTTACAACAGGCCAAGACCCAAAATAGACCACAGGCCTTCTTCTGTGAGATTCTTATGTGGCTTTAAAGAGGTCACTGATAGAAATGGTTTGACAGGATAAACTGTGAAGCTAAAAATGTACAAAAGATATTTGTTCACATAGGTAACTAAAAGATAGGCACTAAAGACATACAGTCATGGAAAAAAATTATTAGACCACCCTTGTTTTCTTCAATTTTTTGTTCATTTTAATGCCTGATATCACTAAAGGCATATTACCTGAAGAATACAATGAAAACAACAAAAAATGCAGCTGATCACATAATACTGTATGTCCTATTTGACTCATCCATCCATTATCTATACACCGCTTAATCCTTACTAGAGTCACAGGGGGGCTGGAGCCTATCCCAGCTGACTTAGGGCGAAGGCAGGGGACACCCTGGACAGATCACCAGTCTACCAGGCTACACTTAGAGACAAACAACCAAGCACACGCTCATTCACACCTACGGACAATTTCAGAATCACCAATTAACCTCCACATGTGTTTGGACTGTGTGGGAGGAAGCCGGAGAACCCGGAGAGAACCCACGCTGCACGAACATGCAAACTCCAGGCAGAAAGATCCCGGTGACGTGAACCAGCAACCTTCTTGCTGTGAGGGAACGGTGCTAACCACCGAGCCACCTGAGGTCACACAGGGCACGAAAGAAGCCCTTCATCAACGAAAGGCAGAGGAAAGCCCAGTTACTCTTTGCTGGGATCACAAGGATTGGACTGTTGATGGTTGGGCAAAGGTTCTCTTCAGTAATGAATCCAATTTTCAGTTGATGCTCACTCCAGCCAACTTACTGGTTATGGGAGGAAGCCTGGAGAAGCTTCCAAACCAGACTGTCTTGCCCGACAGTAAAACATGGGGGTGGATCAGTGACGATCTGGGGTTGTTTCAGTATGGGTGGAACAGGCCAAATGCAATTGTGTGAAGGGCAAATGAACCAGGTCATGTTCAGGGCTACTCATGAAAACAGTCTTCTTCAATCAGCTGGAAAACTCTTTCCTGCCTTGAATGACTGGATTTTCCAACAAGACAATACCCTTTGACACACTGCGAGGTCAGTTAAAGCCTGGATGGAGAACCAAAACATTCAAACCATGCCTTGGCCTCAATCACCAGATCTAAATCTAATTGAAAACCTGTGGAAAATCATCAAATGCAAAATGAAGAACCACAAGCCCAAAAACAAAGCAAATTTGTTTGAACTTGTGCAACAGGAATGGGCTGCTGTGACAGCAGAACAATGTCAGAAGCTGGTGGAGAGCATGCCAAGACACATGGCTGCAGTCATCAAAAACAATGGTTATGCAATCAAGTACTAACTCCTGTGTTTATCATGTGACTAAAACAGACAGAAAAGAAAACATGGAATGCCTAAAAGCACTGTTTTTGGCAGTACAGTGCCATAGCTATTGATGTAAGAACTTAAGTGATTTTGGTTATTAGCAAGAAAACCATTGAAAGTGGCTAGATAGCAGCTCTTAAGTACAACTTTTATGAGCTATTTTTGTTGTTATCATAATATCTATCCAAACAAATGTACCTTTTGTAGTACCAGGCATTAAAATGAACAAGAAATTGAGCAGTGAGGCGTTTAGGGAACATCAGTAAAACGTAGCATCTACCAGAGCAGCATGTTCAGCAATTGTTTAGCCTGTGTCCAGTTAATGAGTGATATCAGAAGAGGATTGATGAAAATATATATATATATTTTCAGATTAAAACACTTTACAAATATAAAGTCTTGTATCACTGAAAATCAATGCAACTAAACTAAGTCAGCATGCATGGTGTATTAATAGCTGTGGTTATGCTGAACCAACAAAATTTCACATTACTCTGATTTTCTGATAGCTAAAGCAATTAACCAACTCTACACAGGCATGATGGGAAAATTCCTCATGCCTCCCATGGACAAATTAAAACATTACACTTTAGACTTTTAACTCACATTGTTATTTATCCAAGCAACCAAGTGTGCATCTGGAGCTACGTCATTGCCAGAGTGCTATTGTGTTATCTACATTAATGTCAACGGTCCCTATTTGCAAAGCATTAGCAGTGACAGTTTGGTGTAAGAAAACAGAACCGCTGCCAAACACCAAGAGGCTCACTGATGGAGAGAAGTCTGTTGGTAGGAAAGATTATTAAGCTTTTCAAGAAATTCTAAGTATGGTCACAGTGAACAACCAAGTGGGGAAAACAACCTGGATTTAAAAAAGGGTTACATGTGGCTCACCTTGTGGCAGATTTCTGTCTTAACCTCCTTCAGGGCCCTGTCAGAGAAGACGCAGCCACAGGTCTGCAGGTAACAAAACCTGAATAATGAAACACAGGGATATACATTCAACATTTTTATAATTCCAATAAATTTTTACCCTTTCTAGCTTTTCTAGTGTGTAGGGCTGTTTTCTGTATGAAGTGATATCTAAACCTGCCACAGGATTCTATTGACTGTGAGGTGTTGTGTACCTTGTTTGATCTTGACATGAGAAGATTTAAAATCAGTAATGAGAACAGCTGAGTGCTGTCACATGTTTTGTTTTTTTACAACAAATAGCAAACATATATATGCACAGAGTTGATCTGTTAAACAAACCAGAGAACCTTATTGGATGCATTTCTTCAGCACAGAGGCAGTCTCTTTATCATTATAGTTATGTTCAGGTGATGTTTACCTGTGTTTGCCATTCATCTCCAACCCAACAACAGGGCAAATGAACATGCCACAGTGGATGTCCTCATATCTGTCTCCTTTAGCATTTCTTCTCTCTCCCTCCCATTCAGGGTTGTCAGTTAGGTTCAGCTCCTTTATATCCTGCAGAAAGAGTACAACAGGTTTATTCCTGCCTCTGACTACATAAGGTTGTCATCATGATCTAGCCACATACAGAAAAGGCAATTTTAACACATTTGACGCATTTTTATGTTATTTCTGACCATTTTGTACACAAAAATGTCCATATATACAGTGCTTAACAAATTTATTACACCACCATCCAGTGTAACGTTTATGCCACAAATGCTCTACATTAACTGCACTGCTAATTACCAAATCATTTTTATGTTTTTGTAATGGTTAATACACCAGTATGTAGAAGCTCTTTTACCAAAATGATATTTTTAATGCGAAAATAAAAATATTTTCGTTATCTATGAATTTTCACATTTACTGTTTTACAAAGAAAACAGAAAAAACAGTAAAGCACATTATTATTTCTTGATTAAGATATCAAAATCTAGTTATCTACTTGCATTACTGACCAGCAAAAATTGAATAGTGGCTGAATGTTATGGTTAGATTAATTTCTGATTTGTCAGAGAAGCCCAGTGAGCCAGCTCAAATTTTGGTATGAAAAAGTGAATTCAGTTTGAAATTTCGTATTCCTGCTCAAAATGATAAAACATCTAGAGGTCACTGAAAATGAAAGGGTTTGCAATAAAGCACTTGATGCTGGATGGTCTCTGAAACAAATGGGGAAAGACATCAAGTGTTCTCATAGTGTGGTCAAGTATGCTTTGGAGTCAATCTTTTTTCACTCACATGCATATGTTCCCATGCTTTTTATTGGTTTTGTTTTTTTGTTCGATGTTATGTCTATGTGTCTATTTGTGTCTGTATTTTACATGTGTATTTGTTCCTGATGGTGCCTCTTGGCCAGGTTGTGTTTGTAAATGGGAACTAGTTCTCAAACATTTTTACCTGGTAAAATAAAGGTGAAATAAATAAATTGCCATGACTGTTATTTATAAAACGTGCCAAGGAAGAGACTTCAAGATTTTAAGTACTAGAGACAGAAGGAAGACCACTGCTCATCTTCAGGCAGAGATGAATGCTTCAAGATCAGAGTCTGAGAAAGTCTCCAGAATGACCAGAAGCAGACGACTGTTGGAACAAGGTTTAAAGGGAAGAATAGCTGAAGAAGCCATTTTTGAGGCTTGCAAACATCCAGAAACGCCTCAGATTTTGTTGATGCCGTCCATATGCCAACATGGCAATGACCCCAAGCATACTTCAAAGCTGTGCAGAGACTATTTGACCACGAAAAAGGAATCTGGAGTTGAACAAATTTGGGATGTAGTGCATTCAAAGATTGAGCACACAAAAGTTTAATCTAAAGCAAGTCTGTGGGAACAGCTAGAAACTATTTGGAACTCAACAACAAAATGTGTGTGTGAAAAAGGACTATTTAGCCATCCACAAGCTTCTGGTTGTTTCTTTGACTTGCTAGTTCATCATAGTGCACATGTTCTTAACCCTAGAACACTAACGCCGGGTGATTTTCACCCGCACGATTTTTGTCATGTGATTTTCATTGTGTTGCTGCTGTCTGAGTTGCATGGGTCCTTGTTTAGCTTCAGACTGCTCATTGATGTCATTAATGGTTTGTTTTCCACCTCCCATCTGTGGTTTTTTCAAGAGGCATGCGTTCGGGTGATTTCCACTCGGCGTTAGTGATAGAGGGCAACATATTTTATGGGTGGAATTTACCCAATGCTAGTGGTTACGTGTTGAAATCAGGCGCTCTTTGCACAACATTCAGGCCGGCCACATCCTCTGCCCCATTTCATCCACAGCTGTCATCCTGTCAAAGGCCTAGTTTCTCTGCAATGCTAACAAGTGATTAACATGTAGCTAATGTTAATTTACATCTGCAATCATTGGCTACGCAGATTTTTTTTCTTTTTCTACTAAAGCTAGGCTTTTAGCTAGTTAGCTACAAGTGAAGCTGTAGCACTCAGAGAGAGGAAAAAAAAGAAATTTCCAGAAAATCAGTGAAATTTCTGACTGAGCACACTAACGTTAAAATTAATAACACCATCACTAACGCCGGGTATATTTTACCCAATATAATATTCTGGATAAAATATAGTTTTCATCAATTTATGTAAAAGTACAACACTGTATGGCAAATTGTAGGACTGGGGCATGTGAGCCTTGTCTGGTGAAGGCACAGTTTGGTTCTGGTATGGAGTCTGTCTAAGGAAATTCATGTAGTCAAAAAAATTTGGTAATTTTTCCCCTCTCAAAAAATGCCATTTTTTGTCAATCTCTGCCACAGATGTCAGTGATGCAGGAAGACTGTGCCTTCACCAGACAAGGCTCACATGTCCCAGGAATGGGTGGACCAAAGAGCAAGTTCCCAGCTCCATTATTTTTTCTGTTTGGAAATTTCTCGTTAAGGATTGCCTGATTTTTCAATAATTTTGCTGCCTTTTTATAGGGTCTCCCATGGTACCTTTTTTTAATTTTATGTGATATTGTATATTAGGAAATTAAAGAAGAGTACTACAATTTGTCATACAGTGTTGTACTTTTACATAAATTAATGAAAACTATATTTTATCCAGATTATTATATTGGGTAAAATATACCCGGCGTTAGTGATAGTGTTACTAATTTTAGCGTTAGTGTTCTAGGGTTAATGGTGTTTAAGTCAGGACTTTAGAGAAACCAGTCAAAAACTTTAATTGCAGCCTGATTTTGCCTTTCTTTTTCTCACCACTTTTGATGTGAGTTTGGGGTCATTATCTTGTTGGAACACTCAACTGCACCCAAGACTCAACCTTCTGGCTGATGAGTTTAGGTTTTCCTAAAGAATGTGGAGGTAATACTTCTTCATCATCAGTCAATTTACTTTGTGTACAGCGCCACTTCCACTGGCACCAAAACAGCCCCAGAGCATAATGCTACCACCACCATGCTTGACAGTAGATTTGGTATTCTTGGGGTTAAAGGCCTCACCTTCTCACCTGCAAACATATTTCTAGCTACTGTCTCCAATTACCTCAATGTTTTGTTCAATCTAACCCCAAGTTTTCTCCAGAAGGCTTTTTTTGTCAATGTGATTATTGCAGCAAACTTCAGTCAAGCCTTAAGAAGTTGTTTCTAGATGAAAAGCTTCCTTCACCAAAACTGATAACTGAAGTTGCTGTATGTATATTTTTGACCCAGCAGATTTTGTCATATTTCAAGAAGACCTATAATAAATCTATGAAAGAACCAAAATGCCAAATAATTATTGTGTCAAAGACCCACAAGTTTCAATGACAATATACATGATCTTCACAAGTGTATGAAGGATGCCTAAAACTACTTTACAGGGTACAAAAAAGACCCCCTGTCCAGTAACTTAGTATCCATAAATGCAAAGCACAGCTTTGAATCTGACCTAAACAAGTAGCCTTTCTTTAAGACCACAGAGTTAAATAATGCAAATATACCTTGATCCCACGGATGTGTGTTACAGCCTCAGCATTGGGTCTCTCAGCAGACTTATCCAGAAGATATTCAATGACAGCATCTTTGTTATACAACCTGAAACAAAACATGGACCAGACTTTCAGAACATAGTACGTTGAAATGAGGCTACATCATTTAAATGATGGCCACTCAACAAGCCATCATGTTTCCGTAAACGTACCTAGACAACTCATTTTACTTGACTGACGAAATAAAAATAATAAAAGAATAAAAAAAAAACTACAAGGCCAAGACACCTCCCTCCTACCTTCCCAGGTCGCAGGCAACGATGGGACGTCGAAGTCTCTCCTGGCTCAAGGCACAGTACTTCCACTTGGCAGCCAATTCTGCATTTTTATCAACCTGGACATGAGAGAGGACATGTCATAGCACTCTTAACTTTCGTCACCTTCGTCTATAGTCTACAAATTGTTGTCATGAAAACTAACGTTAACCACTTCATCGTTGTAAGTTCAAATACCTAAATAAGTGAATTAGTCGCTTAATAATTTACAACACAAATAGCCGTAAGCTAATCAGTTTAGCCTGTTAGCTTTAGCAACCGACTGACAGCTTTCGACAATGTCTCCCGACACGGAGGCATTTGAAAGGAAAGTCGGGGAGAAAAACACGAGCAACACACCTTCTCGACTTTTTTGGGGCCTTTCACCAACTCGTGTCTTTTAGGAATCGTACCACCATCACATCCCATTTTGTAAGCTGTCTCGTAAAGTTTAATCAGACCAGTTAGCTTCCACGGACAAAGCTACTCACGGGCAGGAAGTTCTAAGGTTGTAAACAAACAACGAGAGATCTGCAAAGCTCGCGGGAAGTGCGACTATTTTGATGTCGCCCCCTAGCGGTTGAACAAGTAACACATTAAACACTCCAGGTGTATTTTGTAACTCCGGCCACTGTGTGGAAGCATCACTCTGAATATCAGTTTGCTTGACTCACTTAGGTAGACTACCAGAGCAGTGGAAAGCATTGGAAAGCTACCATTTCTTATATGGGGTATATATATATGTGTGTGTGCGTGTGTGTGTGTGTGTGTGTGTGTGTGTGTGTTTGTTTACAGCTTTCTATTAGTTTTTCAATTTTCACAGAGAAAACAGAAAAAGCATGTCACTACACAGCTGACTGACATATATAAGCAAAGACAGAAGAGAAGACGATAAAGTGAGAAGAAAAAATAAAGGAGGAAAAGAGAGCATTTCTGTATGGTTTGAAAAAAATATAGGAAAAACTTTAGCAGTTGAAAAAAAAATCTGTGAACCATCACCATAATGTTCATAATGTTATCAATGATAAGTTATATAAAAACGATCTTGTACACGTTTAACAAAAAATACCACATCTTTGACTGTTCCAGTCAAGCGTGTCAACATGAAGAGAAAAAAAAAAACACCTTCACACAGATCACTTCACTCTCTTACTGCTCATCCATCTATTAGACATTTTCAGTCAGCCATTAAACCCAGAACTAGTAAGTGACATTAGTCTGGCTTTCAGGCTTGTTGTCAGAGTGGTCTAAAGATGAAAGTTTCCTTGGAAGATAGTTCAATGAGTACTAATGAGATCTGTTTCCTGTGCCTTGCAGGCTGAAGATTAGTTTACTATCGATGGTGCTGTCCAAGAGCGACCATTAGTTTGGGGAATACCTCAGTGGAGACATCTCTGGCGGCATGACTGATAATCTGTGTGGAAAAGAAGGTCGAATAAAAACACAGCACTAGACTTCATTTTAGCTGAGAAAATAAATTTCAACTTCTTCACGCTCGCCGCACACAGGCAAGATGCACAATGTTCCCGAAATGTAGCAAAATTAACAAATATAAACATAGGAACATTTCTCCATTTTGCCTGATGGTTCGATTGGTCCTTCCTGTAATTTATAAATTGTGTTATGTGTCTTATTGAATTTCCCCCCTTTCTCACACAGAGCTAAATGTTTAGTATGGATTTTCATTAGAGGCAATGGAGTGAAAGCTCTGTTAGCAAACTATCTTTGAGAGAGTACAGCGCCCCAGGCTGATAGTGCAAGCCAACACCTCAGGAACACACAATGCACAATGGCCACTGGACAAAAGAAGACTAGAACAATGATCTTCCATCCCTGTCTAACATGTTTGGTTGTTTTTACAACTGCAAAAATACATAGAGGGTTTTTTTTGGTTTGTTTTTTTTTCTTTTGTTTTGTGTCAGGTGCACCCATTTGTAAAAACATGGTACACAGATCTTACTTTAATCTGGGTTAAAGGAAATAATACATTGGTATATTTTGCTCCTTTCTTTTACATCTTTATGTTCTAAATCAACTATAAAGACTATCTACAGAACAGTTTTAAATAACTTAGCCTTTGGGGATGCATACAATTTTCTGGAATTTTACTATTTTCCCATGCAAAAAAGTAATTTAAACATGCTGCCGCTGAAGCTGTAAAGCTGGATGATGAACCAGATATTATAGTTGGCAAAATGTAGGAGTACACATTGCATATGAAAATGTTGGGTGTTTTAAAAGAAGGTGTTTCATGCAACACTCCAACACTTTAAAAATGTAAAACACGCAGAGATTGCGGTGGACAAATTGCAAAGTAATTTCACTTCCAAAGCGACGGTAACTCGAATCCCCCAGCGACAACACAAAGAGATCCTCACTGTGATGATCACATCTTCTGTACTCTGTAACAGTTGAATCTGAAGAATTTGTACGGCTGAAATGTAGTTTCCTCTTCCCCAAATCTCCCCCTATGCTTGACCTCCTTACCACACATATCTTGGTGGTGCTACCCAGCACGGTTGACCCAAAGAAAACCCCAACCACGGAGCGCCCATCCAATCTTATGTTTATACTTCCATGATGAGTCCAACCTGCCCAATCAGACTTCCAGTGCCTGGCCTTGAACTGAAACTGTATACATCTTAACTATCCCAGCCATCCAAAGCAGCCAGTGGAGACTAAGGCTGCATTAATTGCATGGACCAGCCCATTGCACCGAGTCCAATGCATTTAGCGTTTCTAATTGGGGAGGAATTGCTGTGTTTACATTGGCGCTAGTTGATAGAGCCGGACCCTTAGCCCTGCAGCCAACCAAGTTAAAGCTCTCTGAAGGAGAAAACCTGAACTGCCTAGTCCCTAAAATCTCTCTGGACTGAGCTGGAAGGAAATGATTTGGAACAGAGCAGAGGCCTATTTACTCATATTTATCATGGGGGATGGTGAGGCAGCTTTTTTTTTTTTTTTCTGGCAGACCTGATGTTAAATCAATAATGGCCAAGTACATGAATTTTATTAGCCTATTTGTAGTAATTAGGAAAATACAATTCTGGACGTTAGCTACAGATTTAGTAAGACAACTGTTCAAATTAACCACCACAACTTCTTGGAGCCCGAGGTGAAATCTTATTTCATTTATTTGGAAGAGGACAGTGCATATTAATGAGCACATACAGTACAATGACTTTGTGTAAATATGCCAGATTTAGCTTAAAGCTAGTTTCCATCCGTAGTCCTCGTTATTAGTAAAATAATAAAGATGTTATTTCATATTAATCATAATACAATCTAACAAGGTGCACAAACACAAGTTAACACCACACTAAATACAACATTTGTAAAAAAAAAATAAACAATTGGAAAGATTTCATATATGATCACAGATTTGATTAGCGACCAATCATTTTTTAAGCTGTTTTTTAAAAGAAGAGAAAATAGAACATTCTCTAACACCAGCAGGAAGACTGTTCCAACTTTTACAAGCTCTTACAGATGAAGAGTTTTGACCTGTAGATGTTCTCCTGAACTGGATCTCACAGTATCCTCTGCAGACCAATCTTGTAGGCCTGCTAACAACACTGCTCTTTTGTTTGAAGAAGTTTTTAAGAGGTGGTGAGGACATGTTATTACCAGTTTTATAAATGAAGTACGCATATTTAAATATTTTAAGATTTTTAAATTCCCAGTACATTGTACTTCCCTAGAAGAGCACAGTGATGAAATGAGTTTTTTGTTGTTGTTTTTTTTTTTACACACTAACACTTTAATGGACCTCTTATACAGTTGCTCTAATAGGTTTTAGAGAGGTAACACTGGCAAGAGACCAAATTATGAAACAGTACACAATATGAGACATGATCATGCAATGGTAATAAGATTTTGCAGCATCATTTGATATATAAGGTCTAATTTGCCTGAAATTTTGCAGGTTGAATTTTATAGTGTTAGCAACTTTTTAAATGTGTTTATTGAACAATAGTCTGGAGTCTAATACAACCCCAAGATACTTAATCTTTATATTTCTTGTTTTGAATGGTCCAAACTAAAAGAGATTTTATTTACAGTTTTATGAAGTAGATATAAGCAGCAAATCACGTGTCTGAGAGATCAAAAGTGGTAAATATTCTTCATAAAAAAGTTAAAGTGGCAGTCTCACAACTTCACTCTCTTTGGTGGCACTTAAGATGAAATTAAACTTGATTGATAAATAAAACTTTCTTAATTCTGAAGGACATAATTATGTAACATATAAGGTGATAAGCAGAGATTGCACTTGTGTTTAAATTAGAATTAGTTTCATTGAAGAGCAGGAACCTCATTTCCCAGAGATCCAAGCAGTGTTGCCTGTGTGATGTCATTTGGCATATGGGCCACACCTCCAAAACAACTCAAGGTCACCACACATGAAAGCAAAAAGGAAATAATGTCTTCTGAGATTAAGAAAACACAGCAGAGGAAGAAACAGAATGCTGTTTCACACACAGAAGAGTTGAAGAGCAAGTCTGTTGCATTAGAACCGCCTACGCTCTCTGGAAAAAGATAACTTCTGAGTGGTGGAACATGCGTCACTAACCCTTGGCAGATTCTGATTTTGTAACAGTGTAAAGGCAATGACTTTCAAATAATTTAACCAATGGGTTTTCTCATTTTGCAATAGAGATGCAGACATGTATTTCAATGGAAATGTTTAGGATTTCCACTTATAACTACTAATCAGTTACCAAACTTTTTATCAATCAATTTTCTGTTGACTATCAGTCACAATCAGCTTTAAACTACAGAATTAATGTTGGCTCTGCAGCACGTACGCCCTCAGTTTTTTCTCAGTGACATGATTGATTTCTGTTTTATGTTACCAAAGTTCTCCAACACTGGAGGGCAAAATTCTATGATCCATACAGGAATAATTTAATATAAAGTCTGTTGTGAAGACATTTCACAATTTCCTGTAACAACTACAGTGAATGAACTGACACACTAGCATGTGCAAGAAGTCCCACGCACATCAAGAATTTCACTGCAAGTTCTTCACCTTCACCACAACATTTCCCCTCCATAAAAAAGCCTGCTATACGAAAGAATATTTTATTTGTGATTTTAGGTTGAATAGGGAATGCTGCTGTACTCAGTCAACTCTAACACCATGGATCAAGCCATACGCAAGTTCATGTACCTAACATATAATGAGAAATCCAAAACCCTGGAAAAAGCACACCGCATCCAACATGAAGACTGAAACGGGCTACCACACACACCAGTCAACCACAATTATTTTCTCATTCCTTTTTCTGTTTATGTTGAAACGCACATTGCTAAAATTATGTCAGTTGGAAACGTTGCCCAAAACTAATTTTTCTATCCTCTTGGTCTGAGCCGTACTAGTGTTATTAACCGCTTGAGCTTTAGCCACATACTGATAGAGTTTTCTGATAGCTTGTACCGCACGTTCCCTCTTGTAGTCTGGCATAAAATCCTACACAAGGAATCTGAGCAGAAGTCTTGTTTTTATTGTCATTGTT